ATTTACTTGATCTACTGACAATTACATAAAATTTTCACACCTTGGTGCTATTGTCATTGACTAAATTAGGACTCTTTCAAACCTATTGTGTTTGGTTTGGTTTGGTGTCACACATCAACACAACGATGCAAGAAACGTAACCAAAGCTACGCACACTTTTTTGGGAAAATCACAAAATCTTAGAGAACACAGGGCCTGCACTAAATAAATAACTAGATAATGAAAAAATTTTGTGTATCTTGTCAAGCGTTTATTTTCTCTTTTTTGTTTGCAGGTCCAGATAGGTGACAAGTTCGAACTGCTCAGCTCAACTGATAAAAGTATCTTCTAAATGAATTCAAATGCTTAATAACTTGGATTTGGTGTGTTTGGAGCCAGAGCCAAAAAGAAAAAAAAAATGGGGGATAACAAGGAGCAGCTTAGTCTACACAATGTGATCTGGTCCAAACAGTCTACAAACAACATGTTCAGCCTCTTTGCATGGCCATTCTCAAATTAAAACCAGATTTCATTCCATCTGTACTTCGCTCCTCGTTACCAAGCTGTTAAAATGATCATCAGTAAGATAATGTAGCTGTAGAGTCAGGGAGGTTTGCTCAGAGCCGATATATATATATTCAAACTTTCTTACAAAGAGGTATGTGTTTTTAAAAAAAAAGAAAAAGCACAAACAGCACACTTCGTAGCACATCTAGTCTAGTTTCTTTTATATATATATATATGCAGTACTGTGCAAAAGTCTTAGGCACATGCAAAGAAATGCTGTAGAGCAAAGATGCCTTCAAAAATAATGAAATTAAATGTTTCTACATTTAAAAAAATACTATAAAGAGCAGTAAACAGTAATAATGAACCAAAGTCAATATTTGGTGTGACAATCCTTCACTTTTAAACAGAAAAATAGTAGTCTCAGGTGCAGTGTGTGCAGTTTTATAAGGAAATGAGCTGTAAGTGTTACTGAGCATCTTGCAGAAGCAGCCACAGTTCTTCTGGAGACTTTGACTGTCGACTTGCTTCTTATTTCTGCAGCGAAACCCAGCAGCCTTCATTATGTTTTTATCTGAAAAGTGTCTCATATGGAATCTGCTGCTTTCTTTACTGACATACAAACATTTTTCTGTAGCAGTTCATTTTGTGCTGGAAAACTAATGTTTGGAATCTAAAATATTTTTGTACTGAATCAATAAAGTAGAAGTCAGAAAATAAACATCTATAACAAAGTTTGTACTTAAAAAATAGGGTGTCTAATACTGTAGCTATGATTAAGGACTTTATCGCTCAGAAATGTATCACATTATGGAAAGAAAAATGTGTTTCCCTTTCAGATTGTCCTTAATTCCGGCTTGAACGTTACGCACAAACAAAACATTATTCCATTAGACTCCAAGATCCTTGGCTGACTCGTGATTTATGTCACTATCGTTATCCAGTATATAAACAGTCAAACTAGGCTAGATGTGCTACGAAGTGTGTGTAGTCATAAAAAAAAACACACACATATAATAAACCACACAAGTATAGCCAACTACGGATCATAATAAAGTTTATCATGGTAACTTTCATCACTTTTTAGCTACATTAGCAACCTCGAACACCAAACATATTGGACGATTGGCTACATTTGTGGATTTTTTAAATAAATAAATAAGTAATAAATTGCTAGTGGTATAAAACAACAAATAAAACACTTGTGCTGGAAAACTTCGAAACACATCGAGCCACTGTTGATCATTTTCTTATAACAGTGTTTTATTTTTTACATCCTATATCCCAGTCATGATTTAGGAACTAAACTTTTGTACAAACATTTCTTTTTTTTTCCAGCCCTTGGGAAAAATCTAAAAACTGCCAGATGGGATCGACTCCAAATGTGAACATATTGCAGGAAGGCAGCTTTCATTATAGTTTATATTTTCTGCCTTGATGTACATGTTACTGTCAAAAACTTTTTTTTTTACTTCTTTCCAATCACCATTCATGCAAAGTTGCCTATTTTAGAGAGCTTGCTTTCATTGATCACATTCAGCCCACCGTTCCATCGTGTCACTGTGAGAAGACAAAATGTGTGTGGATAAATCAGATAAATTTTTAAAAAAGCACTGAAATGCCACTTAAATAATACAAGCAAAATCTGAATACCAAGTTCCCATTCCATGATAGTGCATTAGCTGCAGAAATCCTCCATGTTCATCAATAAGGACAACAGAAATGCACCGTGGCTCATTTTGATAGCATCAAGCCCTTTAAAATGACTCGACGTGACGCTTACATGCTGAGATTGATGACCGACGAGACGTTTGGGATGGCCCCGGCTCAAGCAAGGGACAGTCGGACAAAACCGATCTCAATTGGTATCGATTGAAATGTGCTTGAGTGCAAAAGAGGACAAAAAAGCCTCTGTCAACTGAAAAAGGAATGCAGAGAGAGAGAGAGAGAGAGAGAGAGAGAGAGAAAGAGAGAGAAAGAGACAGAGTTAGCAAAAGCTTGACAAAATCAATACGCTTTCATTCCAAACTGTGTCTCTCGCCGTGCCTTGAAATTGTTTGGCATCCAATTAGACGTCCAAGAGAGACGAGGCGAGCATGCTGAGGACAGGCAGCGTCAGCATATGAAAATCTGGTTAGTGTTAGATTTGCATCCAGCGATGTTGAA